CTCAAGGCCTCTTACGTACCGTCGAACTCAGGAGCAGCTAAATGTAGAATGTTAAGCAGATTATCACTGAATGGTTCCAGATGCTGCTTTTAGCTTACTCGGAGAAAACATTAGCAACATAAACCTTGTGAGTCTCGAAGTAATACTGGCCATTTTCATCTCGATTAACCACAAAATGTAATACTTGCTTGTTCCATTTCACCGATAAAGCCAGTATAAATTGCCCTGTAATCCTACATTGAAACCGAGATAGTGCTATGAAGCCAAATTCCAGGAATGCTAAGCCGAGATTAACCTTCTCAGCCATAGCGCACCAACTCTTCCGTGCACGCTTTTCATTTTTCCTGAGCCCTTGTCTGTGCACCATTTTTTAAACGACTCATTAAGATCAATTTTTTTCTAATACGTATCTCGTAAATTATTCCGCACAATCAGTTGTTAACAAGACGAGTAACAAATCAGAAAAGTAGGAAGGGCATTATTTTGACTCTCTTTTCACCGCTTTCAGATATACATGCATGAAAATCTAAAATTTTTTAGATTTTTTGTAACACTAGAAAGTTGTGGGCTTTCACGCATATGTTTTCAGACTTTTTTTAGATTATATGGATCCGAAAATTAGCCAGACAGATTTGATAACGCTACTGTTAACTGATATGTATTTTTACCACTGTTTCACTGATTTGAAAAAAAAGCTTTGAATAATTTTCTTCACAGCATACTTAAACCTGCTCTACCACTTAATTAAATTGGCTTCAGTCATATACCCGCCACTAAAATGTAGCGACAGAGAAGTACCAAAATCTGGCCCACTTTCACCAAGGCGAAATATGCGAGTTAGTGCTTCAGCGAAGCTAATGCGCAGCAACCGCAGACCAGTCATACCAACTTTTAAATGAAGATCAAAATAGAGACGTTCGAGTGGAATTCACAAAGCTAAACAAGCGATACACGATGAAACTAATACGCGAGGGGGATGAAGTCTGTGAACAACACTGGCAAATTTCTGAAACACTTCTAGCTCCACTTCAAATTCCTGGGTTTTGATAGCCAAAATCGAGATCTCTCCGCACTCGCTCGCTATGAGAGCCAGATCGAAAGTATTCCAAGGGCAAAATGTGCCAACAGCGACCACCTGTTGAATGGCTGTTGACGACTACTTAAATTTTCCAAACATTTCTGAGTTCGATGCTTTTTTGAACTGTTCTTTTTTTTTAAA